GTTTTTTTTTTCTTGCAACATCGAAGCGGGTGCGCCAGGCAAACAGGAGAGAATTTGTCCCGACGACAGTACACAAATAAGCAAATAAGTGAGGTGCAGAAGAAAATGAAGAACCAAAGAGCGCCCCAAGACAACAAAAAGAAAACTCAACTCTGCCCACGCCCATGCTGGAACTTCACTCAACAGTACAGTAATAGTGTCGATCCATTTCGTTCTTTGTTGGCCCCGTAAGCGTGGGCGCTACACCATAAATCGAACACAACCTCATTAGTGCCGGTACCGGCACTAATGAGGGATTGGCCAGCCCTCAATAGTGCCGTTTTGGCACTATTCGCAATAGTGCCGGGTGCCCGATTTAGTGCCGGTGAACGTTCTGTGCACGTACCGGCACTAAAAGGGTCCCTCGACTGTAATGTATGTTGTATATCCAGCTGATATTGGAAATGGTATGTGCATGTCGGTCTTCGTGTGTTAGGTGACGCGCCGACAAAATAAAATGTGCAACACGTGTAGCACCTTTCGCGTTTGTGCCGAAAAATGCAAACGGTGGGAAAAGCGCGCTTGGAACATGATGGACTATGATCGTGACGACGACATTTGAAATGTTACCTGCAGGAGGACGTCCGGCGTTTGAACCGAATCGCCACCAGCCAGTCGGGTTCCGGTTACCCCTTAAGCTTTCTTGCCTAGCAACCAACAAGACTCAACAACAATGTGGAGATCCCCAAAGCACATGTTCCCCCAACGTCGGTCGAGGACTATTTCCTCTTGTCACAACACAAGATGGAAACCTCGACTCTGGGAGAGCATAGGGTCCGGAGTGCGGTAGCTATGACCTGCCACCGGGGGCTAATCTCCGATATACGCGTGGAGGGAGAGCAAGGCACATAGTCTACGCTGCTAAGCGCCGCGTTGCGCGCCCAGTGCTGGCGCGGTCATGGCGCCTTCTCGTCGTCGACTGTCATAATTTGGTTGTCTTCACTTTCGTACACCAGTGGAACCGATTAGCTATTACCTTGCCTTCCGTCCCCTTACAAGGAAAAACAAGGGTTTCGGTGGCTAACTGGGAAATCCCACCGAAAAGAAAACGCATTTCCGAAAAAGACATTGAACGCCACCATTACGTCGACAACAAACAACGTGGCGCGCAAAAGCGCAAAAGATTAAGTAGGTCCCATGGCCCAAAATCGAAAGCTGAGCCAACATGAGGTACTTAGTCATCATTCAACCAGACCAGCACGCGCTCGTAGGTTCTATCTACGCTACGCCTTGCCTCCCGATCTCAAGAGATCAGTCCTAAGACAAACAAAGGATTTACATGCCTGCATTTCATAACGAGAGGGCTCGGTTGTCATTCCCGCGAGCATTCTTAACAACTATCCCTTGCTCAGAATGACATGAAACGCGTTACGCACGCCTCGTACGCATGGCTACACTGAACAATTCATCCCAACATAACGAAATGAGCAATAACGTGGATAGTTCCATTCAGGATCTACGCATTAAGAGAAGAATGATCTATCGATTTGCCACAAGATCCAGGTGGACAATGGCGCGATAAACACGTCATCAGGAACACGAGGAGGTGCACACGGTCTTCAGTCCGTCATACCCAAGGGTTAGGGTCTCAGTGAAAAGCACAAAATTGCAAGAAATCAACGCTATTGTTAGTTTCTTACTCTTCATCAGATGGTATCACCTGAGCAATCTGGTCCGTGTCACGTGCTAAGTAACAACGGAAGCGCCAGCACATTACTAGAAAATGAAAGAGACAAGGAAAATATCCCGAAGGGAGCAGGAGTCCAATACACCATCGAAACTGCTGCCATCGAACAACCCACAAAAAGCAATTTGATCCAAACCAACATGGGTCATCAGCAGGCCAACATTTATCTGGGAACATTCGTTAGAACCCCCTCTGTCGGGGGACCCCGATGATCGAAAGCGTGTTCCCATATTTCATTGGTCGGTCCCCCAGCCCGAGGCCTACAAGGCGCTTTCGCGATATTTGTCCAGGAAAAAGACGCCGGTTCGTTTACCAGGTGAGCATCACGGGTGACGCTCACAAAAAAACACAAGACATGCACTGCCAGAGGACCCTGGACCTAACGTGTTGTTTATTGGCCTGATTTCGGTTAGCTGCTTAGCGCGGGCTATACATCATAATCACGGAAATCAAACGCGCATGAACGACCACACACAAAGCGTAAAGCATCACGAATCGACAAACAATATAGGCCAACTACAAGTACGTACACAAGCAATACTTGAGAAAGCACACTTTATTGAATGTCCTTCCTCAATGGGAGGTGTACATCGCCATGCAAGAGGGCGATGAAGCTTCGCCGACGGATTACGGAGATGACCTAGTCCTCCACACCCGAGAGGGCATACCTGGATCGGCTGAAGTAGGGAAAAAGCCCCCCCGCCCGGTCCCGGTGCCTTGGCACACATTTGAGGCGTTCCGTCCCGGCTGTGAAGGACGCGACCGTGCGTACGATAGGAAGTCTAACATGGGTAACTGAGAGGATTCCCAGAAACGGTGAAGCCGGGCGGAGGTGGACCGTGAAAATTGCTGGTGTTCTTGATGACCTTCTGCTACTTCAGGGCTCCAGGGCATTCTCTGCCTGGCCTTTTGCCTCGAGGAGATCCCTGCAAACATTCGGATGCATCAAGAAAGCAACGATTTCGAAAAATCCATGGAACACCTAGCATTAGGCGAGAGGGGGGGGGGGGGGGG